ATGAACCCAGTTGTTGGGTTCTGTCGAACCCATGCTGGGTTTTGTCAAACCCAGTAGATTTGGGTTTCGTCGAGCCCAGCAAATTGGGTTCGATGACTTGAGAAAGAAAAGAAAGAAGAGGAAGAAAGAAGAGGAAGAAAAAAAAAAGAAAGGAAGAAGATGAATGGAATTATTTTATTTTATTTTTTTAAAATATAAATAACAATAACATGAGTTGGCATGAAAAAAAATTTCACGTCAACATGTTTTAAATTTGTTATTGCCACGTCATAAAAAAAACTATAAAAAACGTCATATGAGCGAGTTAACGATCTAAATTAACAGAAAGACTAACGTAATACATTTTTTAAAGTTTAGGGATCAAGAAAGTGCAAAAAATTATTAAGGGACAAAAAATGTGCAACTTACTAAAATTGAGGGACCAAATTTAGCATTTAACAATTTATTTAATTGGATGAATATATCTGCCTCCAAACAAGGAGGCGAAAAGCAAAAAATTAGTATTTCAATTAACTTATTCATTTATATAATATATATCAATATATATAGTTGTTTGTTTCTCATTTCCTATGGTAATGTATGTTTTATAATTTTATACCTCCTAATATAATTGGTAATTTACTTTGATGAGAAGGAATTGATAATTTAATTTAACTTTTTTATAATTTAATTTAATTTTTTTTATTGTTCATTTATGCTTTTGAATTTTCTGTTGACGAATGCTAAAAGTATATTTTTATTCGCATTATTTATTATGTTTCAGGACCATTTTTAATGGCGGCGGAAATAGTAGGAGCAATCCTCGGTGCATTGAGTTGCTTTGGTGGCACAACCTACACCTATATAGTGCGATATAGAAATTTTAAAGATGATGTGGATGAGTTGAAAAACAAATTGGAATGTCTAACTAACCTGCAAGACAGATTGCAACGTCAAACTGGCGAGAATGAGGAGATAAATTCCAAAATACAAGAAATGGAGCCTCGCAAACGGCTTCAAGAAGAATATTTAGAAAAGGTGCGGGGAGTCAAGTGGTACAAGCGTGCCTATCTTTGTCTTGACCCACGTATTCATAGAAAAATTACAATGGCGAAGGAATTGCTTGAACAAGATCGGCAATCGCTTGAAAGGCTTGAAAGATTTTCTCCAAATAATTTAGCTCCAGCTGAGATAGCTCCAGCTGAGACAGCTCCAGCTCCACCAGAGAATTTAGCGGAGGAGGAAACTTTTACTGAAAATGAAATATGGGGGTACTTGATGGGTGATGAGGTTGGAAAGATCGGAGTTTGTGGGACTGGAGTTGGACAAACTACGATCATGAACAATCTTCACAATCAATTACAAGGGAATGCTAGATTTGAAAAAGTGATCTGGGTTACTGTGTCACATCATAATGTTTTTGAATTACAAGAGAAGATTGCTGGTGTTATGGACAAAACACTTCCAGAAAATGAACCGGTGATAATGCGAGCAGAAGCACTTATGGAAATAATGAGAGGAGTGAAATTTGTGCTAATATTAGATGACGTACGGGAACAGTTCACTCTTACGGAAGTTGGAATTCCGGAGCCGAATAGGCAGAATGGGTGCAAAGTAGTTGTCACTAGTAGATCAATTGACTTATGCAATTATTTGCATTGTAAGATTGTTGAAGTGCAACCTTGTTTACAAGGGGAGTCTCGAAACTTTCATTGGTCCTTTGCGGTGGATTGTTTACCAGGGGAGCCTCTACGTTGGTCCTCTAAGGTGGATTGTGTGTTTCCGAAGTGGGAATTATGTGTTTTATTGATCGTTCTTACATTGTTATTGAGACCCTACTTAATTTTATCTCTAATTTGGAGAATCTATCAGCTTTGCAGTTATTTCATTGTAAGAAGTTAAATACTTGTTTTCCTTAGCGAACCTTAAGGGATCAAGGAAGTTGGACCTACACACTACAGGAATTGAGGTGTTCCCTCAATGCATGGGGATGTTGATAAGTTTTAAATATCTTGATTTGATATTTTGTCTAAATCTGAGAGAGATTCAAACAGGAATATTACCTAACCTTTCTAATCTGGAGTACTTGGTAGTATGTTGTTTGCGAAAAACTACAATAATGAGAAATTTTGAAGAGGTTGCTAGATTGAAGAAGTTGAATGTAAATTTGATGACATTCAAGACTTCAACTATTTTGTCAAGAAATTCAAAGATTTCCAAAGTGCTGTTGCTTACAGTCTTGTAGTTGGGAGTGCAAAAGACCTAATTAGATGAGGAAATATGAGCTTGTAATTACTGATTGCGAGATTGAGGAAGAATGTATAGTGCTTCCAAATAATCTTGAAGATTTGAGGATAATTGGTGGTAAAAACATGATAAGCAGCTTAAACAAAATAGCTCTGTTAGAAAAAGCAAATGAGTTAAGGAGGTGCTGAATTAAGAATAGTAACGAGATAGAGTGCGTTGTTGAGTTGGGACTCATCCTCCTCCTCCTCCTTATTGTGTTGCCCAATACTTAACAAGCTTGAACTGTTGGAGCTTTGGGGATTGCATAGGTTGTGTGAACTTGTGAGAGTGGAAGGAGTAGCAACACCATTACACGTCTTTTCCAATCTAAAATGGCTTATTATATTGAATTGTTTGGGAATGAGGAGATTGCTTCCACTTGAACTATTGCAGGCCCTCTAAAACTTAGAGATGATTTATGTTGATGGCTGCGAACAAATGGAGGAGATAATAGCATCATCAGATTCAGATGCATCATCATTGGATACAATCACTTTCACTTTTCCTAGGTTAAGGGAATTGTGCTTCTGGAACTTGCCCCAATTGAATAGCATCTACAATGCCAAAGGAGTTATGGTTTGTAATTCTATTGAAAAAATTGCAATAATTGGATGTCCAGAGTTAAAGAAGATTCCTATGCAACTTCCCCAGCTTGATAAAGACTAACCATCTCCTCCTCCTCATCTTAGAGAAATCATGATAGGTGAAAAGTCAAAAGAATGGTGGGAATCAATGGAGTCAAATCACCCTAATGCTAAGAACCTCCTTCAACCTTGATATATTCTAACGAATGGTAGTATGACTAGAGGTAAGTTGTTAATTGATTTACTATTATTTAATTTTAATTTGAATTTGATTTGATAACATATTACAATATGTTGTTGAAATTTTGAGAAATAATGTGTAGCGTGAAGTGGAGCTGCAAACTGCAAATGCAAAGGGAGTTGTTGAGTAGACAAATCGTAACCTTCTAGAAACTAAAGTCACGTGCCACCTCAATAACACGTGCCAATAAAAGCTTTTCCACAATTCCTTCATTCCTCCCCTAACAAAAACAATTAAGTATTGTAGAAAAGAAAGAGATGGATGTATTTGGGATGGAAACCTTGAGTGGGTATATTTTGGAAGACAAAGATATCCAGCCTCTTCCCCCTCACAGACTTCAACTAGTAAGTGTTTAGATTTTACTATTTCTATTTTAACTTAATTGTAACTTTCTTTAGTTTGTGTTTAGATTCATATTCCACTCCTCATCTAACAAGATAAAATTGTAGGTGATAAGATGGTTTAATATATGTGGTTGGAGGAACATTACTAGTATTTCTTTTTTTATTTGATTTTTTAATATATTTTTATTTAACTTTATGTGGACAGTCTTTTTTTTCCTTAAAATTTTCTATCATTTGAAATTTTGTGTTATTTTAGTTGCTGAAAGAAACAATTTCTGTAGTTCCAGAGAAATCAACAACTTTTCAAATAAATCACAAGCCATTGAACATGTTCTAGTAAAAGCCCTTATTCAATAATAAAAAGATTGGTTGGAAAATTACATGCTGAGCTGAAGAATCATACCTCAAAGAAAGTGTTAGACATCCAAACACTATGTATTTTAACTTGATTATTACATTTCACTCTCTTCATTCTCTCTCTTTTTTTTTTTTTGGGTCCAGCAAAAACTCGTCATTTTCTTTTGCTTCTTAATTTCTATGTATTCATAAGGGTTTTATTGAAATATTTTTTGTTTTATATTTTGTTCTTTTTATAATTTGGTTTTGGGGTAAGCCCGGCTGAAAATGAGCCCCCTTTAACTACCGAGTAAATTCGCTCCAATAAGGCCTTAAGGAGAGGAAGTTTTTAGGGTTATGGGTATGCTTTTTGGATTCTTAATCTAAAAGCTTTGTGTTAACGACCACTTAAGATTTCAAAATAATGAAAAATTAAGATTTATCATTATTAAGTGTGAAAAATATAAAAGAAAAAGGAGTCGCTACTTATCCAAATTATAAGGTGGAACAAGTCACCTAAAACGAGTCTGCACAGAGATCGAGGTTCGGGGGTTCAGTTAAGAGTGAGGAAGGGTATATGCGTATCTCACAATCCTCTGTTTAAACACGGTTGCATACTTTAACATTGAGGTTTTAATTCAACTTATTTATAATCTTTATGTTTAAGTCTTAAAAATGAAACTTTAAAAAAAAGGATAAATCAAATTGAAACATTTTTTAATTTTTGGACTAAAATGAACAAAATAAAAGGTATGTATACACAATAAGCACAAATAAAAATTAAATGGATTGATTTGAAAAAGTTTGAAACTTTTGGATTAAATTGCTAAATCGTAAAAATTTTGGATGAAATTGAAATAAAAGAGAGATAACCTCGACTTTTGAGGAAGATTAAAGAAAAAAAAGAAGGTTGAAATTAATTAATT